CCGTAATAAGGTAAAAAGAAGAGAGGTTAATGTTACCACGGGGTTGGGTGCTGATACTTCTCTAAGCTCGGTCCGGGTTAGGGCGAGTGAGATGGGATGAAGAGCTCCGTGAGGTTGTCTGGCGATTCGTAGTGGAAAAGAGTTATGGATGTAACCGGGTTTGACAACGCTAATCTATTGGATAGACTAACATGTAACTATCTTGTGAAGTAACAATACTAGTAAGAAAGTACAATTTGAGTTGACCACAACGAGAGTAATAATGAAATCCATCCATCCTTATATCCTCATTGCTTCCAGTCCTGCCATCTTGCCCATCTCTCCTTGGCGAGATGGTAGAGATGGCACTGCCATCTCTCGGCGTCCTGCCATCTCAGATGGCTGGCCTTGGCGAGATGGCACATCACGTGACTCCGAGCCCCGCGATGATCCATTACCTTTTGACGTGGACGTCCCTAGGCTTTCAGCCGTCTCGTCATTTGTCAAGGAGAGAATCCTTCTTGTTACTTGTAACATTACCTCCCCTCTTAGGGCTATCGTCCCGATACCCTGGAATATCGTTTTCCCGTGCCGCGTGTTGAGACGCTGGCTGCATATAAGGTCAGAGCCCGCCCACTCGTTGTAGCCGTCTCTGCCTCGTAGCCTTCCTAACCATGCCCAAGGTCCAGCCTTCTCGTCGTGTTCGTGCTCAAAAGTCCAACGAGGAGCGTTACTCCCGCGCTGACCGCGTGAAAGAGCAGGGGAACGAAATGACCGTTTACCGTTGCAAACGTTGTGAAGAGAAGAAGCTTCGTTGTTTCGTGGATACCGCCACTGGGCGTTGTGCTGGTTGTATTTCTGTCGGTGCTGAGTGCAGTTTGTTTGTTTCTGAGGAGGAGTGGGAGAAGGTTCAGCGCGAGAAGCGGCAAAAGCGCTTGGAGCTGGCGCGCATCGAGGAGGACGCTGCACGAGTTCGTCGAGAACTCTTGGAAGTCGAGGCTCGGGAGCACGATTTTGCCGATCGTGATCTTGCCATTCTGAACTTCCAGGATCGTGCGAAAGAGCAGGCCGAGGGGAGCTCAGCCCCTGGGGGTACGGGCCTTCCTGTTGTCGAACCACCGCTATCCGAACCGTCGGCTGATCTGGGCGGGTTACAGGCTGATTACTACGATCCTTCTTTTGACTATTCCTTCCTCTTCGAGGGGCTTCCCCTCGCTTCTCCGGGTGCTTCCGATGGTATTCGCGTACCAGTGACTTGCAGTTCGTCAGGTTTCCTTCAGGTTCCCAAGTGTTATGGCTATCCGGCCATCCTTGCCACTTAACCAAGTACTTCCACTGACTGCCGATTTTCCGCAGGTCCTTGATTTCCTCGACCTCGTACTCGTCGTCTTCGAGCTCTATGTCCGTTGCTAGCTCGGCATCTGGAGGTGCTGGTTCCAGGAGTTTCTTGTGAAAGACAGGGTGGATTCGCATGCCTTGTGGGAGTTTCAACTCGTAGTTTACTTTTCCTATTTCCTCTAGGATTTCGAATGGTCCTATTCGGAGGTTGTCCAATTTTCTGCATGGTCGTTTAGTTTTCAGGTTTTGTCGTGACAAGAAAACTTTGTCCCCCTTCTTAAAGGTTGGTCCCTCAATCCTTTGTTTATTCGCTGCTTTGGATGTCGTGAGGTTTCGTTGAGCTATGTTCTTGCTCAGTTCTTCGTGCAGTTCTCGCATAAGCTTCGCTTTGTCGTCTGCTCCTACCGCGATACTCTCAATGTCTTTCGGATCCCGATGAGCAACCGGCTCATATCCGTAGTTCGCGTAGTGCGGCGAGTGCTTCGTCGTTGCAGATTTTGTGCTATTGTAGGCCAATTGCGCTGTTGGTAGCAACTCTACCCAGTTGTCCTGCAATTTGTTGGCGTACATCCGTATGTACTGTTCTAATGTCTGGTTCGTTCTTTCCGTCTGGCCGTCTGTTTCCGGGTGAAAGCTTGTCGAAAGCTTCTTCTTAACACCTAACTTCGCCAAGAACGTGCTCCAGTATTTAGACGTAAACAGTTTATCACGATCGGTGATGAACTCTTCAGGTATCCCATGCTCTGACACTAGTGCTTTGGTGACTTCGTACGCGCATTCGTCTGCCGTAATGGTCTCTTCCGTAGGCACAAATTTTGCCGCCTTAGTCAATCGATCCACGATTACTAGGATTGTGTCGCAAAATCGAGCTGATCCTGGTTCTAACGATTTCGGGAGCTTCACTATGAAGTCCATCGTTACACTTGTCCATGGTCTAGATGGTGGCTGTAAGGGTTGTAACAGGCCATAGGGCTTATGTCTCTTGGGCTTGTTCTGATGACACGCCAAACAGTTGCCTAGTATTTCCTGCACCTTCGTACGCATACGTGGTATCGCAAACACCTTAGACAGTCGTCTAACCATTTCGTCGACTCCTGCATGTCCGTATTCCTTGGACTCGTGCAGTTCTTTGATGAGTTCTTTTCTCATTGGTGGGGCGACATACACTTTGTCGTCCTGAGCCATTGCTCTCATTTCCAGCTTGTCGTTGGTTATTTCCTTGGGAATTGGCCTGGGCTCCAGCTGCCAGTGCAGCGCCTTTCGTCGCCATTCCTGTTCCAAGGTTTCTACCTGCTCGGCCACCTTAGCTACTTTAGCTAGTTCCGGCTGGTTATAGCGTAGAGTGCCATCGGGCATCTTCTTGAGTAAGGCGTCATGTGGTTCCTTATGACCCTCTTCGCGCAAATCAGACCTTCTACTTAAAGCGTCTGCTGCTCCGTTGAGCGTTCCCGCGCGGTGCGTGATCTTGAAGTCGAACTGAGCAAGCGTCTCAGCCCATCGGACTTGTCGTCGGTTGAGTTTCTTCGTAGTCATGAAACTCGTCAAGTTCTGGTGATCGGTAAAAACCTCGATCGTGTCGGGGAGTCCTAACAGGTACACCTCCCATTGTTCAAAGGCATCGACTACTCCGAGTAGTTCCTTATCGTGAACATCGTAATTAAGTTCTGCTCCTGAGAACTTTCGTGAATGGTAGAACACCGGTCTCCATTTCTTATCTGGGCACTGCTGTGACAATACAGCTCCGAGTGCATAGTCAGACGCGTCGGTCTCGACTCTGGTGGGTCGTTGAGGGCTGTACATCTCTAGTACCGGCGCTTCCAGGAATATCTGCTTGATTCGATCAAAAGCCTCCTGATGTTCCTGATCCCATTTGAAACTTATTTCCTTCTTCGTTATCTCCGTAAGGGGTGCTGTGATCTTTGAGTAATCTTTTATGAACTTTCGATAATAGTTCGCAAATCCTAAGAAGGATTGAACATCCTTGACTGTGTTGGGTTTTGGCCATTCCTGTACAGTCTGTATCTTTTTTGGGTTCATTTTTCACTCCTTCGGTTGAGATGATGAATCCGAGGAATTCCGTTTCCTGCGTGTGAAACTCACACTTTCCTGGTTGAAGGTATAGCTTGTATTCCTTAAGCTTCCGTAACACCTTCTTAACATGCTCGACATGTTCTTCGCGTGTGCCGCTGGAGTACACTAGTACATCGTCCAGATACGCGGTAACAAAGATTCCGAGGTATTCGTGGAGTGCGTTGTTAATGACTGATTGAAAGGTTGCCGGCGCGTTCGTCAACCCGAATGGCATAACCGTATACTCAAAGAGTCCGTACTTCGTTTTGAACGCCGTCATCCACTCGTGACCTTCTTTGATTCTGATTCGGTAAAATCCTTCCCGAACGTCAAACTTCGTGAACCACTTAGCTCCCTGGAGTCGATCCATGAGCTCTGTAATGAGTGGCAAGGGATATCGGTTCTTCCGAGTAACGCTGTTCAACCTTCTGAAGTCGACACATAATCGCCACTTCCCGTTAGGCTTCTTTACGAACAATATGGGTGAGGCCATCGGGCCTGATCCTGGTCGGATAAATCCCTTTTTCAAGTTCTTCTGGAGGTAATCCCGCAGCTCAGCATCGTGCTCGGGCGCTATAGGGTACATTCCTCCTGGGCTCAACTTCGCTCCTTCCTCCAGGATGATCTCGTGATCCCAATCCTGGTGTTCTGCTAAGTCTGTTGCTTCGTTTTCCTCGAACAGTTCCTTGAACTCTCGTGTTCGGTATTCTGCTGGAATCGCCAACAGTGGTTCGTCCTTCGTGGGCGCAACCTGTGGTACCGGTCCTTCCTTCGTGGTCGCGACCTGCCGTATCCAAATGACTCCTACTTTCCGAGGGTCCTTCGCATAGATTCTCGCGATCTTATGCGGCGAGATCTGGCCTATCCTCCCTTCCTGGGTTGAGCTCTGGATAATCGGGCGCATCTCTTTACGTCTGGCTCCAGCAACCTTGTGCACAGGTTCTCGGCTGAGCAACGTCTTCTTTTGCCAATCGATGGCAGGGTTGTGTTCTAACAACTAGTCGTAGCCAATTATCATCTCTGTTTCTCCGAGATCCATAATGCTAATTCGTTCTCGGCTTTCTTGACCAGCCAGGCGTAACGATACTGCCTCGGTCTCAAGTCGGATCCAGCCGTTCCCATATGTCGTGGGACTATCGTCGGCTAATACCACTCGCATCGGCACCTTCTTGGTCCGATAGGGTATGTTATTCTTCTCCACCACTCGGGGTGAGATAACGGTTCGTGCGGCCCCACTGTCTATGAGCGCCGTCACCTCGTGTCCGTCTATAAGTACCGTAGCCTGTAGCCGCAGATCTTGCGCTCCCAGTTCGCGTACTTCTTTAAGGGTCGTTTTAGGACTGCCTTTACCAGCGTGACCCTGTCCCTGGTGGCATCCTAGTTTTTTGACTGCCTACTTTTCTTCTGCGTAGGAAAGTAGCCTTCGCCTGCCTTGGCGGAATAGTGTATCATACACTGATCGTCGTAACAGAAGCTCCAATGGGTGTTCTGGTGCGGAATTTCCTGCTTCGCTATCTCCCTCGTTGGTCTCGGCTTCTTTACTTTGTGAATCGGGCAATCCATTGCCTCACAAATGTTTGCTGACAGGGTGCTATGGAGGTGGTCGTTCACTCCTCGAGCATCCTCAAACTGTTGTCGGTGGAAGGCGCATCCCTTCCTGCAATGCGTCCATAAGAGTCGTTCATGGCTCTTGTCCTTGTTGGGCTTTCTCAGCACTTGCTTAGGCATTCTGGTCGTCGTGACTCTCGGCTTCTGTGCCCTGTGCATCTTACAGTGCTTTGCATTGCATTCTTCGGCGGATATCGTGCTATGGTAGTAGTCGTCTACCTTTCGAGCGTTCCGTCGTTGTTTCTGATGAAACTGGCAATTGGTCGTACAGTTAACCCAGCATAGCTCTTCATGAGCTTCCTTTTCTCCTGGCTGGTGCATGTGACAATGCAATACTCGACACTCGTTATGCCATAAATTCGTGTGGCAGCAATCGTCCTCGTTGTCCCTGGTCGCTTCTCGCTTCCTCAAGTGATAATCGCACTGTCTTGGGCAGTCGACCCAACATAGGCTCTCGTGTTGCTCCATTCGTTCCTTGAACGTCCGAGGCGTCTCCTCGTCATTAGGTTCCTTGAACCTGGGTTGTTCCTGGGCAGCCTTGCAGGCAATTTCCTCTGCTCTAGGCCCCGTGATTGTGACTCGTCCTTCGATGTCGCAATCGTTGGCTTGGTGCTTGGCATTTCCATAAATCCAGCATTGTTGGTTTCTTAGGCGGCGTAGTACTTCGGCCCCTTCAACCTGCCAATCCGTTGGTAGTGGGTCGTCCCACTTGAAGTCTTGGAGTCTTATTGCCTCTTGTACTAGCTCAAAGGCCTCGTCGGTGGCTTGTCTTGCTTCGTCGTACAGGTCTAGGTCGCTGAGAGTCTCGTCTGGCTCCTCAGTTGGGTAAGGTGTTGCTATCCGTAGCATCCCAATCTTGACCGCTCCTTGCTTGACTTCATTCTTCGGGCAGTCCCTGCGGAAGTGTCCTACTTCGCCGCAGCGGAGGCATGCCTTACTGTCGTAACGCTTCTTGCGCTCTTCCGCGGAAAGGCCGTCGTTAAACTTTCCTCGGGTTTTGTTCTTATCCCTGGACTTGTCTTGTACCTTGCCGGTCATGTACGTGTCTCCGTCGTGATCCTTGTTACTCCGATGTCGTCGGGTGTTGGCGAAGGGTGGCCCTGGTCTGTTCCCTCTCTGGTTTTCTTTCCGTTCCCATAATCGTGTGTCGATTCTTGTCGCCAACTCGATCAACGAGTACAAATCCTTCGGCTTTTCGTAGTGTACAAGTTCGTCCTTGATGTTTTCCTTCAGACCTGCTTCGTATACCGTCCGGAGTGCCGAATCGTCCCAATTGATTCGTGCTTGAAGTTGCTTGAACTCCGCCGTGTAAGCCGATACTGCTTTGGTCTGCTTCAGGCGAGATATCGCTTTCTCCGCCTGGCTTTCCGCGTCTACCTCCCCGAAGATGCGTCCCATTTCCTCCTTGAAGTTGGCCCAACTGCCGAACAAGGTACGCGTCTCGTCCTTCGTTCCTTTGTTGTCGATGTCCTTTAGAAAATCCTCCACGTAGGGTTGCATCCAGCTGGCTGCTTTTCCCTTCAGGTGGGTATTGGCCATGAGAATCTTCTCTTCGTCGTTTGGCACATCGTTGTAGCCGCAGTATAACTCGATAGTAGTGAGGAACGTCCGTAACCCTTCCCGGTTACCATCGTATTTGTCTGGGGTTGCCATCTTGGGTTTCTTGATAGGCTTTTCGTTCGGTGTGGCCATCAGCTGGCTCGTGAGTTGGTTGATCATGTTCTGCAACTCGGCGATCTGTCTAGCCTGATTCTGGCCTTCGCGTCTAAGATTAACGAGTTCATACTCGGGGCTCCCTGCCGCCGGCTCGTTGATACCTCCCTGGGTATGACCAGTCATGTTGACGTTCTCGTCAGGCACCGGGCCTGGAATGTTGACATACTCGTTAGAGTTCTGTGACATGGTCTGAATCTTAATCGGACGCTATTGGTTAATCCTCCACTGAATCCGTGGGTGGTCAAAGTGTTACACGGGGTTGGGTGCTGATACTTCTCTAAGCTCGGTCCGGGTTAGGGCGAGTGAGATGGGATGAAGAGCTCCGTGAGGTTGTCTGGCGATTCGTAGTGGAAAAGAGTTATGGATGTAACCGGGTTTGACAACGCTAATCTATTGGATAGACTAACATGTAACTATCTTGTGAAGTAACAATACTAGTAAGAAAGTACAATTTGAGTTGACCACAACGAGAGTAATAATGAAATCCATCCATCCTTATATCCTCATTGCTTCCAGTCCTGCCATCTCTCGGCGTCCTGCCATCTCAGATGGCTGGCCTTGGCGAGATGGCACATCACGTGACTCCGAGCCCCGCGATGATCCATTACCTTTGACGTGGACGTCCCTAGGCTTCAGCCGTCTCGTC